CTGCCTATTTCTCCTGTTCGCTTTGTGTTGCCGCAGTATTCGCCACAATATAGATATGTATATATATCAGTCTTTCTTAGTTTAAAAATTCGTCTCTTACATAAATGAAAAAAATGAGATCAAATTAAGCATATACAACTTTTTCATGCTAAGTATAGGTAAATTCTCCAAAGGGCTAAACAGGGGCTAGGGGCAATTTTAAATTTATGTGGCCAAGAAAAGTATGTGGTAGCTAAATCTAGCCACCAAAGGGCTAAAACGGCAACACTGCTCACGACACAAACATGCTGGTACAATCATACAATTTTCAAATAGTTTTTGAAGTCGCACCAGCAGCTGGTGCAATCACACCACAAGAACATACTCGGTCAATCGACTTGATGGGCGATTTAAAAAATTAAGCATATTAAGGGCCATACACTTATCTTTTTCAAACTATAGTTAAATCGTTAATAGATAAGTTAACAGCCCTAACACTTTTACAGTATGTACATAAATATGTATAAAAACGCAAGGAACATACTTTTACATATATGTATATATATCAGCCTTTCTTAGTTTAAATTAAGCAAATATAGAACTTTTTCATACCACGTATGAATAAATTCTCCAAAGAGCTAAAAAAAAGGGCTAGGGGCAATTTTAAATTTATGGGGCCAAAAAAAGTATGTGGTAGCCAAATCTAGCCACCAAAGGGCTAAAACGGCAACACTGATTGCCACCCGTCGACTTTTAATCACAGTATATACAGTATCGGTCATATCTATAGCACGCCATTTCAAAGTGATATTGTGTGCCACTTATGTTTTTTTATTTATTTTTAAGAATTTTCAATTAAAATACAGTTCTTTCTCTAACAAACCCCATATAAACCCAAGTTTAACAATTTGTAGAAAACTTCAAAAAAGTGCAACAAATTTTCACCTAAGTTTCAAACTTTTTTTTCGGAAGTGTTAGAATTTTTTCGAGTACAGTTTTTTAGCCCCTTCAATTTTAGTCTGATAATGTGCAAATTTCAAGTAGCTACGAATTACCGTTAATTTTTTAGATTTTTTTTTTCACATTGGCTTCCATATAATGAATAAACTCCATTTATTTGTATATGGAAGAAATCTGCAACACCTTTGGCGAAAAAAATTTTAAAAAATCAACGGTAACTTTTAGCAACTTGAAACTTGCACATTATCAGACTAAATTGGTTGGGCTATAAAACTGTGTATTCAGAAAAATTCAAACACTTCTGAGAAAAGTGTGAAATTTAGGTGAAAATTTGTTGCACTTTTTTGAAGTTTTCTACAAATTGTTAAACTTGTTTTATATGGGGTTTGTTAGAGAAAGAACTGTAATTTATTTGAAAATTCTCAAAAATAAATAAATAAACATAAGTTGCACACAATATCACTTTGAAATGGCGTGCTATAGATATGACCGATACTGTATATACACAGTATATACAGTATATATATACAGAATATATATATATATATATATATATATATACAGAATATATATACTGTGACTCACATCTCGTTACCTAGGCTATTAAAAAGTTATAGATGAAAATATTTTGGTTTCCCCATAAGGCTAACCTTACAATTCAAATCTTTAAAGCGATTATTGCTTATGACCACATATATATAACACGAAGTTAGTTTTACTTGTTAAAATGTAATTGTACCTAACTATTTTACAATTATTTTGTGTACGAAAGGTAAATCTGAGTATTTAAAATGTTACGGACTTTCGGCTACTTTTTCTTCCTCTTCTGTGCCGACACTTTCATTCTGTTCTACGCTTTTTACAGCGATATTATCCATGCAAGATCTTTCTTCATTTTGTTTAGCGGGAGTAGATAATTGAATCTCACTACGTTTTATAGCTTCTCGTCGTTTCATTAAATCATTCCATGGATCTTCTAACATAGATGGGTGCACAAAAGCCGATATGTCGTTTACCTTATTGGTAAAAGATGGTCTCTGAAATGAAAACACTTGTTAGTATTCATTTTATTTTATTGTACTTCTTTGATACATTGTTTCGTGGTCTGTTATTGCCACCTCCACGCCACTGCCATTCAGCTGTATCATTGCTACGTGGTGTGTGTTGTTGCCGTTGGCCTGCATATCCACCAGCACTGTGGCGGTTGTTTGTCCATCCTACAGAAAATCGATTTTGTTGATTTTCGCGTCCGTTTTGTCTATTTTGATAAAAGTTTCCCCCACCCTTTGTGTTAAGGCTGTTGTACTGGGCCCGCGCTGGTGTTGAACACTTTCCTGGTCCGCCGACTTCAAGTGATATGTAATCCTCTGACTGAGATGGATATTGCTGTATCGGTTTGGCATAGGGTGATGTATTACTTCGCGACATATTATTTTTTCCCCGATGCTAATATATAAAAATTTAATTGACGAACCTCCTTGAGAAAAATTAGCAAACGCGAACAAAGTAAAATGAAAGAATGAACTAACAACAAGCCATTCTCAAAATATTGAAAGAAAAGATACGTCAATTATTGTGAACGGCTCACGGTTGCAATTTTGAGCGCTGCCATCTGGTAATTGTGCATACTTAAAGGCCTGTATGCAGCTCTCAAGAAAAGCAAAAACTCCATATAAAGGCTGCATTTCTTTATTCATTCCGAACATTTGGAATAAACTTTTTTGTTTACTTATTCTTTAGAATATTCCTGATGATATGCTAACGTATATTTCAAACGTATTCTGTTTGTTCCGGCTGTGAAATGGGATTATCCGGAATGTATAAGGAAACGCAGCCAAAATGACGTACAAGAAATGGCTAAAGACCTGTATGCAGCTCTCAAGAAAAGCAAAAACTCCATATAAAATGAAGTACAAGAAATGGCAAAGAAATTTTCTTGAGTCAAATTTCCTTAAAGGCCTGTATGCAGTTCTCAAGAAAAGCTAAAATTCTATACAAAATGACGTACAAGAAATGGCTAAGAAATTTTCTTAAGTCAAATTTCCTTCAGGCAGTACGCAGTTTTTAAGAAATTTGCTTCGCTTTTACTACGGTTTTCTAAAGTTTTTTGTGAAAAGAGAGCACAAGGCCACCCAGGTTTGCAACAGAAATATATGCCCGTTCCATTATTTCTTGAGGAAAGAGTGAGGCAACAGGCTGTGAAGTATAGAAAATGTCAAAATTCCTTGTACACACACACGAAATAATGGCAAATTTTTCTAGACGGATTTCTTGGGAGCTGCATACCAGCCTTAAGGCAGTACGCAGTTCTTAAGATATTTACTAC